ATCCAAGCAGCCAAGCATAAATGGCAGTTAAGTCATGCGAGCAAGTCCAAACAGCAGTTAAGTTGGCGTAAGAAGAAGGGCTTAATTCTTTGACAGCAGAGTTCAAGTGCTTATATGCATCATTTAAAGTCTAGGGGGCTTAATAGCGATTCTGGGGTTAGTTCAGGGGCTTAACTTATCGTTTTGCCAATTATCCATTAATCCTTTATTTAATTAACTTAGCATTTTATTTAGTTCATTTATGAAAATTCGAAAACTCATTCCTTAACCCTTCCAATCTTCTTCCATAGGTAAGCATTAAAAATTTTGATTTGATGTTAAATTATTAAGTAGCTTTTAGTAATTATACATCATGCTATACTTTTTAAAGTTTAATAATTCTTAAAATTGACTATATATTATTCATAGAATTTTTAAAAAATAAATAACTAATCACAAAATAACTTTTAACGACAATACAATATAATTCAGCACACTCATAACCACAATTACAACCACAATATTTCACAATAATTTCAAATGCATCTAGAGTTTTAATATACTTGGTTTAGAAGTAGTCGCAAAAGTGGAACAAATTGCAGAAGAAAGCATGATAATTTCATAACTAGATCCAAAGAAAACAGAAAAAGTATTAACTTTGCACACATATGACTAATCCAAAAAAGAGTATGTCCTTTATTTAGAAGGGAAATAGATACACCTACACTACCATGCGTGTTAGACTACAGATGTCACGTCTCAAACTCAGAGTAAAACAAACACGTATACACTTGTGAGAGGACCCCACAAATGTACAAGGTTTAGAACCAATTTAATATATTATGCAAATCCATATCTTTTAATAACCCACTAAAATTTATTGTAAATTAAATATCTCTAATAATTGAAAATCTATAGTAAAATATCTAACCAAGTCAAATTATGCATAAAAATCCAATATCATCTAAATCATATAAATATATCCATGTCTAAAACCAAAACTAGTCTCAATCCAAGAATAAGCAAACTAGCCATTAATCACGCTCGCTCTAATCCCTAACATCTCTAGTCTCATTACTTGAAATGATGAATAAGAAAAAATGACCTAAGATTAATCTCAGTAAGTAAACCATGAATCCCCTACACATTAAAAATAGAATGCAATGTTCATGTA